GTGCAGACCCTGGCGGCCGTGGGAGGGGAGCCTCGACGCCCTGCCTGGCCTCGGGAGGATGAGGGAGCTTGGTACAGGGTCATCCTTCTGATGGGGTTTTCGATGGGCCGGGATGTGCTGTTTGGGAACATCTGGGGACAGGCAAGCGGAGAGGACTCATCTTGGGGAATTGGGAATTATGACGTGTATGCGGGGTCCCAGGCACACTGCAGGCTGAGCGCCCCTCGCCCTACGCTCCGGCTGGCGCGCGGGGGAGGACCCGCTCACTTGACGCTGCCCCTCCAGGTTTCCATAGCAACAGGCAGCCCTGCGCGGCGGCCTTTCTGAGGATGCGGGGAGGGGAGAGTTGCTGCAAGGCTGCTTACTCTTGCCTCTCCTGGTAGTCACACGCTAGTGAGTGGGTGTGGAGGCTGCCCACGTCCTGCCCCAGTCTGGTTCTTAACGCCCAGCTTTCTCTAAAGTATACACAGTTCTCCACGCGCGTGTGCGTGCGTGTGCGTGGGTGTGTGCTTCTGAGAACAGGCTCCATACATTCCATTCTTTCCACAAAGGGGCCATCATCCCAAAAGAACTGTCTTAGGCCTAAATGGCCTGGCTTGCTCCATATCCATTTCTCCCCAAAGGTGAGCTTGTTAGTGAGCTTGGATTTACAAGCCTAATACCAGGATTTCAGTCTGTTCATATCTGATGTTTACATTTAAAAGTCTTTTTCCCTGTCGTTGTTTCTCATCTCAGGAAACACTGGCAAACTTGGAGAGACAGATCTATGCTTTTGAAGGAAGCTACCTGGAAGACACTCAGATGTATGGCAATATTATTCGTGGCTGGGATCGGTATCTGACCAACCAAAAGTGAGTATCAGAAGCCAGTCTTCCTCTTGTGCCTTAGTGGTGTTTGTAGGACTGTATGATCGTAGAGGGAACTTTGCAGGTAAGCGGTAATAGTGTGGAAAGAGGTCTGGGCTTGAACTTGAACCGTGGCTGTGCCACTGTCTCACTTTGTAACCGTGGACAAGCCCCTATCTGTTGGAAAAGTTGGACCTGTGTCACAAGGTTGGGTGAGGTTTAAATGAAATAGGTAGTGTTGACAGTACCTGACCCAAGAGCCCTCTCTTAGTATTTTCTACATTTTAATCAGTTACTAGTTCCACCCTCACAGTTTTTGCCATACCCGTATGCCAAGTGTACCACTGTTTACATGGTGATAGTAGTCTGTAAAAATTTCTTAACTTTTGCAATTTCTGAATCTATAGAATTGAAAGAAAATAGTGCATGAACACTTGGTGTCCTTCCCCTGTGTTCACTGTGAACATGTCACTGCGTTTGTGCTCTTGCACAGCAAGTGTGTAGTCTTTCTGTAATATATACAGACACATACATTTAAGACTTTTCTAGTTTTGAAATAATTGTGGATGCATAGGAAGTTGCAAAAATACTACAAAAAGGTCTCACATACCCTTCACCTGGTTCTTGCCAGTGATTGTATTTCATGTAACTGTGGTACACTGTCAAAACCCAGAAATTGCCAGGCATTGTGGCGTGTGGGAGCAGTCCCAGCACTCAGGAGGCTGAGGTAGGAGGATGGATGCGAACTGAAGGCCAGCCTTGGCTGCATAGTGAATCCAAAAAAAAAAAAAAACCCAAAACCCAGAAATTGACATTGAAACAATGTGTATATTTAGTTCTGTGCATCTTACAGCATGTATAGACTCATGTAACCACAGGAAAAGATACAGAACTGTTCCATCACCACAAAGATCTCGATTGTGTTCCTCCTCTGTAGTTATGTCCCTTTTTCCTCTATGCAGTTTTTTTCCTGATACCCATTGGAAAGGTGGAGATATCATGAGACTACGTCAGCATCACTTCCTGAGAACAAGAACATTTCTCTGACCTAACCACAGTGATCGTATGGAGAAAATGAATACCATCATCTAATACTCTCCTTTCTTCAGATTTCCTCAGTTGTCCCAAAAATGCTTTGCTACTTTGTTTTTTCATTGTTGTTGTTATTATTTTGCCAATGCTGGGGATTAGAGTCAGGACCTCCCATGTGCTACCTAAGCAGTTCACCAGTGAGCTACATTCTCCCGCCTCCATCCCTATGGTACTGGGGATCGAACCCAGGATTTCAGCACTGAGGTACATTCCTAATGTGGTGGCACACGCCTGTAATCCCAGCACTCAAAAAAAAATTTTTTTTTTTTGACATAGAGTCTCTCCAGGCTGCACTCATATTTGTGATCCTCCCAGAGTCCACAGTGAAGGGATTACAAATGTACATCACCATGTCTGGCTTTTTTTTTCTTTTAACTTCGATTTTTTTTTTTTTTTTTTTGTCTTTTTGAGACAGGGTCTGGCTATGCAGTTCAGGTTGGCCTTGAGCTCACTTTGTAGCCCAGGCTGGTCTCAAACTTGCAGTGATCCTCCTGCCTCAGTCTCCTGAGTACTGGGATTACAGGCATGCGCCACCATGCCCAGCTTTTTTTAAACTTTGAGACAGAGTCTCCCTAAGTTACTAAATTACACAGACTGAGTTTGAATTTTCCACACTCTTGCCTCAGCCTCCCAGAGTGCTGGGATTATAGGGGTGTGCCACTATGCCCGCTGCTACTTTCTGTTGAGCCAGGATCTAGATGTATTGCATTTGGCTGTTACGCCTGTCTCTTCAGGTTTTGTTTGTTTGTTTTTGTACATGACTGAACCCTGGCCTTTTGCACTGAGTTACATTCCCAGCCCTTTTAAACTTTTTATTATTTTGAGATAGGGCTTCACTAACTTGCTCAAACTGGGTTGAAACTTGGGATCCTGCCTCAGCCTGAGATTACAGGCGTGTGCCCCCATTCTTGGCTGGTTTTTGTTGTCTCACTGTGTCACCCTGGCTAGCCTTGAACTCACAGTCCTTACCTCAGCCTCCTGATTGGTGGGATTAGAGGCCTGTGCTACCATGCCAGGTTCTCTTTAGTTTTATAATGTAGGACTGTTGAGCTGAAATTTGAGTTCCTGCCTGGGCAACATATCAAGACCCTTTTCAAAATGAAAAATTAAAAAGACCTGGGATGTATCTTAGTTCAGTCCCCAATACTAAAAAAAAAGGAGGCGTCTTTTATGCCACCTTTCCTGGCAGTCATTTTTGTTTCGTTGTGGGATTTGAACCCAGAGCCTCCCTGCACATGCTGGGCAAGCATTCTACAAACTGAGGAACATTTTCAGTCCTGTGCTAATCATTTTTATTTCTTTTAAACCGTCTTTTTTCTTTTTTTTTTTTTTTTTTTTTGAGACAGTGTCTTTATGTCGTTCAGACTAGTTTTCAACTCATGGCAATCCTCCTGCCTCAGCCTCTTGAGTCATGGAATTACAGGCATGTGCCACCTTGCCTGGCTGCGCTAGTCATTTTTAATAATAATAAGCACTAAAATAAATGCATATTAGGATAGAGTGAGGAGGGGCTTGAACTGGAGAGTGTTGCCTTATATTCTGATGATGTGTCATGTTCCTGGGTCCCCTGAGGCCCTTAAAAAGAAAATAAGTAAAACAAAGATGTTTGTGAAGTTCCTTAAAATAATCTCGCCACACACATACCATACAGTGGAAACATTTCTGTCTGTGGGCATTCTGCATAGAGATTGTTGGGGCCAATCCAAGTGGGTCAGAGGCATTTCTGAATGGAGTCTGGTTAGAAAAGAAGAGTTGAGTTCCTTGCCTGTGTGTGCAAGGCATCCCCAGTTTAAGCCACAGGCATAACCTGATGCTTATAGCAGATTTCTTCTGTATGTTTTAGAAACTCCAACAGCAAAAACGATCGAAGGAACCGGAAGTTTAAGGAAGCAGAGCGGCTCTTCAGTAAATCTTCAGTGACATCGGCAGCTGTAAGTGGTGTAGTGCAGGGGGATCTTTCTGTGGCCTGTTGTTGAGGAATGTTTCTCTTTCCCTTCCTATCTGGGAGTGGTCTCCTGAGGGCTGTGGTCACTTTTCTAGTAACCAGTGGCTTTTCTTTTAGGCAGTAAGTGCATTGGCAGGAGTTCAGGACCAGCTCATTGAAAAGAGTAAGTTCCTGTTTTTCCTTTCTTTGTCAGTTCATGTTGAAGCTACCACAGTCCCTAAGTTTAACTTATTCCCCGTGTATCTGAGGGCTGCATCTCTGTGCTCTCTCCTTTTGTTTCTAGAAGTTGGGGAGCCTTTGGGTATCGCTAATCATGCCTTTCTTTTGAGAAAGAAACTCCGTCTTTCCTGTCATAGGAAAGGAGCTTTGGCTGCTCAGACACGCAAAGCTTTGTCTTTGTTCCTCTGAAGTCTTAACTTAGGGTAGTATTTTTTTATGGAATATTTGAAACATGCCTAATAAATCCCCAGTGCTCAGGGAATTTTAAGTATGTACCTGTGGACTGGGGATTTAGCTCAGCAGCACAGCACCTGTCTAGCAAGTGCAAGGTTGTGAGTTCGATTCCTGGTACCGGAAAAAAACCAAAAAAAAAAGTATGTACCAGTGTGTTCTTAAATATAAAATGGGGAGTAGATACTATTTGCTTTGCAAACAGATTGTCATTTTCTGTATGTTAGCCAGATGATGTAATTATTTTCTAAGGTCTAGTAGTAGTATCGAAGTCTGCACGTTTGTGTTCCATCCATCCTTTCCCTTCCCCATTTCTCTCCTTCCTACCCTGCCTCCTGTCCCCTCTTCTTTTTTTTTTTTTCTTGTGGTATCAGAGATTGAACCCAGGGCCTTTGCAGTGAGCTACATCCCTACCCTGCAACGCCCTTCTTTTTTAAATTTTTTGTATCTCTGTTATCCATGCTGGGCTTGTGTTTGCAGTCCTCTTGCTTCAGCCTCCCGGAGTGCTGGGCTTACAGGGCAACACTACCATGCTGAGCTGCATTTGTCTTTGAGGCAAACTGTGTGTGCTGCTGTAGATGTTCTCCCAGTAATTGGATCACTTTAGAATATAAGCTGTTTTTGGTGTTGTAGCTGTGTACGTCTTTCTGATGCCATGTCTTGTTGTGGGATCGAGTATTGGACATTGGGGCAGAGACTTGAGGCAAAGGGACCTTGGCATTTGGGAATGAATTAGAGCTACTTAGTGACTTCAGTTGTTATCTCTGTGTACACACTTCCACATTCGTTGCTCGATCTTTAACCCCTTTTCTGATCTTCATCCTGTCTTTCCTTAAGACATTGCCACTCAGGTATTCAGACTCAAACATTTGTCTAAAAGAGTTCTGTCTGCTTCATAATTTGTCTGGGGATTGTTTTGTTACAGTGTTTCTGTTCTCTCATTCTGAACTTGCTAGGCATCTCTGACTCCTTTCTTGAGCTTCATCCATTGTACCATGTCCCTTTGGTTTTTCGTTTATTCCAATTCTCAGTTGAATCTGCTTACGTTTTTTTCCCCCAATTAATCCACGTTTAGAATGTATCTCTGTTGTAGACTAGCGAGATAGGTTCAGCAGTGTCCCGGACTTGTGCCTTGAGAGTGAGATAGAGCCATGTCTTCCTGCTCCATTTTCACGGGAGCCTGTAATCCTGCCCTGGTTTAACTGATAAGTCGGTAGGTGGTTTTTTTTTTTTTTTGGTTTTTCTCCGGTACTGGGAACCGAACTCACGACCTTGCGCTTGCCAGGCAGGCGCTTTTGCCACTGAGCTAAATCCCCAGCCCCGGTAGGTGGTTTTGTACCTGTTTATTCACACAGTGTAGGCACTTGTCAGGAAAGACCCTTAACGTCACTGCTTTGAGAAGTTGACTGAGACAAACACGTATTGAAGATGTATTAAAAATTTTCTAAAATATATGCAGGCCACCTGTTCCCCCAAAACCTACTCCAGATTGAACCCCACACCTGGCTTAAAATTGATGTTTCTTGGATTTTCCCAAAAAGTTATTTTTGCTGAATCAGACTTTGTTCCCCTAGAATATGTCACTGTATATTTGTAAGCGTATGTTGCAGATGTTTATTATCACTACTAATCTGTTAGCTCTTTGATAAACAGTTTCTCCTGAACAACTGCATGTTTTTTACTAAAAATCTTATTCAACTATTTCCCTGTTCGTGTGGTTGCTAAAATGTTTAAAGCCAAATTTGTGGTTCACCTGAGCAGGGAAATAGGAACGTGTAGCATGCATTTTGGGAATGAATGTTAGTTTTATTTCCAGTTTGCTTTTCTATTAGTTACTGTTTTACTTTCTAATTTTTGATTTATTTGATTGGATTTAATTCCTTCAATCTTGGTAGGATGCCTTGCATTCTTTAAGGAATAAAGCAGAATGCAGAGAATTATACAAATGCCAGCTTTCACTAATTCAAATTGTTAGAACCTTTTACAGGGATTCTGTTGCTTTCTCCACCCGCCGGGACTGTTACTGCTCCCTGCTGTTCTGTTCCGTCTGTCTGCCTGCCCTGCTACCTACTTATTCATGGTACTGGGGACTGAAAACAGGGCCTTCACAGTGAACTACATCCTCAGCTCTTTAAAAAATTCTTCTATTGCTAACTATGGTGGCATCAGCATGAGTGGAGGATTACTGTGAGATTGAGGCCAGCCTGCACTACATTAGTGAGACCCTGTCTCAAAACACACCCCCCAACCCCCAGCCCACCCCCCAGGCCTGGTGGTGCACGCCTATAATCCTAGTACTTGGGAGGCTGAGGCAAGAGGATCCTTGTGAGTTTGAGACCAACCTGGACTATACAGCGAGCTCAAGGCCAGCCTGAACTGCATAGGGAGACCCTGTCTTTAAAAAAAGACAAACAAACAAGCGCGCCCCCCCCGTTTTTGTTAACCATTGAGACAGGGTCTAGCTAAGTTGCCCAGGCCAGCCTAGAATTTATGATCCTCCTCTCTTCTTCCTGTCTCAGCCTCCCAGAGTTCTGGGATTACAAGCATGCTCCATCATGCTGGGGTTGTTTATCTTTCAATTTTTTTTTTTTTTTTAATCCAGTACCAGGAATCGAACTCACTACCTTGCGCTTGCCAGGCAGGCGCTGTGCCGCTGAGCTAAGTCCCCAGCCCTTCTTTTAATTTTTGAAAAATAATTTTTTTGGTATTGAGAATCAAACTCAGGGACTTGTACTTGTCAGGCAGGTGCTGTGCCACTGAGCTACATGCCTAGCCCATTTTTTTTTTTTTTTTTTTTTTTGAGACAGGGTCTTTATGTAGTTTAGGCTGGGCTTGAACTCATTATGTAGTCCAGGCTAGCCTCGAACTTATGGTTATCCTCCTGCCTCAGCCTCCCAAGTGCTGGTATTACAGACTTGTACCATCATGCCTGGGTAAGACACAATTTTTATAAACTGGAAAACCCAATAAAATTAACTGAAGACAACAGCACAGAGAAAAGAGGACAAGGCAACACAAAATAAGTAAACCGAGGTTCAAACACATGGGCTCAGAGTACCGGAGGAAAGGGCACAGGGCAGACACTCTTTTGAGAGGATAGGTGGAAGGTGCGGGAACTGATGAATAATGCCAAACCACAGTTTTAAGCAGTCCAGCGGTAGCCTAAAGCAGGGTGCACACCTCTAATCCCAGAACTCTAGGAAGCTGAGACAGGAGTTTAGCAAGTTCAAGTCCAGCCTTGGCGATTTAGACAGACCATGACTCTAAATTGTCTCCAGGTTACTTACAATGCTTAATGTGCTATAAATGCTGTAGATAGTTGTTAGAATGTATGGTTTAGTGAATATGACAAGTGCAGGTCTGTACATGTCCAGTATAGATTCTGTTTTTCCTGAGTATTTTCTGTCGGCGATTGGTTGATTCCGTAGAAGTGGAACCCATGTGTATGGATGGTCTTAATAAAATAATTTGAGGGTGAGGGTGAAGCACCTGTCTTCTGTAAAAGATGTGTGTTTGTTTCTGCTGGGCCTGGGAGACCCAGGCGATGGAAGCCAAGTATAAGTGCATGACAGGCGCCTTTGCTTTTCACTCTTCTTCCTTCATAGAGAATCTGTGCAGTGCTTCAGAATTTCTGAAAAACAAGCCTGGTAGAATGAGCTCTGTGTTTATCACACCTTTGATCTTTGATGAGAATGAAACATTTTTTCCTCTTAGAATTTTGCCTTGCATCTTAGATTTCAAGGATTTCAGAGTTTTGCACTTTGGGGATTTTGTTTTTAAACCATTCTGAAAATCTTCAAAAATGGCATCATGTTCTATTTCATTCAGCCTCGCGTGTGCTCAGCCTGTAAAGAGTGGGTTTGCATGGTCCCCGAAGAGGAATTTTATGCAAATCAATGAAGCATTGTATATTTTTGTAAAAAGAATAAAGTAAAAAAAAAGGGAACAGGCAGATTTTTATCTGATTTCCTTTAAAGAATCAGCAGTCTCCGTTGTTTGTTTTACTGGGCTTCTCTGAAGCTTTCATCAAACCAAATCTCTACACATTTGTATCATTCCAGTGGGTAAGTGTTGTTCTGGGTATCTTCCCTTCCTCCTTTAAACCTTTTGTGCTGATCATAAGTAACTGCCTTTAATAGCCTTCTTTTGAGCCAGGCTTGGTGGCGCAGTCCCAGCACTCGGGAGGCTGAGGCAGGAGGATCATTGTGAGTTTGAGACCAGCCTGGGCTACAAAGGGAGCTAAAGGCCAGCCTTAACTGCATAGTGAGACCCTGTCTCAAAAACACCCGCCCCCCGCCAAAAAAAAAGCCTTCTTATCTACTAATGTATTTCTTAATTTATTTGATATTTTGACCCAGCGTCTTGTTATATAGTTCAGGCTGGCTTTGAACTTACTATGTAGCCTGGGTTAGCCTCAGACTCGCAATGATCCTCCTGCCTCAGCCTCCTGAGTGCTGGTAAAACTCCTAGTCTGGTTTAGCCTTAATTTCTTTTGGTAAGTTGCCTTCCAAGGGTCTGGATTTATCATATTAATCAAAATCAGATGGCCTTTGCTTTCAAATAATGAGTTCCTTGTTTTTATATCAATGAGAAATAACCTTAGTATCTTCTATAATGGTAGCATCATTCATTTGCATGATTGACTTGCTCCTGCATTTTGAGATGTTACAACCTGCTTCTTCTATGAGCTAAGGAAGATTATTGTTATTATTT